TAATTAGTCCAATTTTTGTAATTTATTTTTGATTATTTTGTTTTATTTACGAAACCATAGCTATCAGTATTTTTTTAATGTTTCAGTTTTAGTTTTATGTTTTTTTAATTTTGCGGTATGTTTTTTTTATCAAAGATATTTATTTTTACTCGTGTTTTATGTAAATATATAGATATTTTAAACGACTTGAGTTTTAATAATTAAAATACCTAGGTATATTTTGAGTATTAAATTGTTTTACTCACAAGTGTTATATACGTAATAAATAAGTTTTGGAAAAAATATTAAATCGGGGACTCTGTGGCCCCTTAACTCCCATAATCGCGCTTCCGCGGTGTCATAATATAATCCCCATCCCATCGAGAATCAGGATGGTGACTCGTAACACCGTGCGCAGTTTAGTAACTCGCAATCCGCAATTTCTGCCATCTTGGGTGTTATTAAGTGTCATGGTGTCACGCGGGCTGTTTCAGCACCCATGACACCCAGAGAGGTGTCAACACAAAAGCGCCATTCAACACGGTGTTACCCATGACTAGCTGACACAGCGAGAGGAGAATGCTGATGGATATATTACTTCATTTTAAACACATACGCTGATGTATTTTAAAAAGGCATTCGGGAATAAACCGTTCTTGAGTCGAGTTCTATGATTTTTAATTGGAGTGACCTACCAAGCCTACCTTAATAATTATTATTACCGTTCCCATATTTTAAGTTTTAGTTATTGTTTATAAATGCAACACTCATGTTTAACTACGACTAATAGTAGCCCAGATGTGTCTCGTTGAACATAGCCTGTGCCTGTACCGAATTATTTTTAGTTGTTATCTTGTTTGTTTGTAAAAGTGAGTTATTTAATCGTGCAATTTTTAATTTTTCATCAAATCCTAAGCATTTGAAATTATGTAACATGTATGTCTAAACAGTTTCTCGCAATCAAATTAGATATTTCTACGATTAAATTCATGCGTTTTGTTTTGTTTTTTATCAGTGGGAGTAGAATTACGCGTTATTTAACCAAGTGAGGTCATAATAATTGGATATATAGTTACAGTGGCGGCTGGTGCTAGGTAGTAATTTGCATAGTAAAAAAAATTACTTAAAATTTAGTTTACAATGGTATATACATAATTAAATAGATTTGCCATATGAAACACATGAAAAAGAAAATATTAAATTTGTATTGTGTCAATTTAACTCAACAATATTCGTTTGTAAAACACATATCCAGAATATGTCGGCTCCTTGCAGCTCGCCTCTACATCTGTAAAGTGTTTACAGCGGTGGTCACGGTTACTGCCGCCCAGCAGTTAAAGACGGAGTGGGAGTAGCACATATTTACTGTTTAGTCCGACCGTAACCAAATAATAGCTATTCACCGCTTTTTTTCTTAATAAACGTAATTTGTTGAGATGTGGTGTAAAATTTGTGTGTTCTTTAAAAAATTGTAAAAGTTTAAATTGACTTGCAAAAAAGATGTTGCGAGAAATACCAAACATAAGTGAAAAAGTTATTGAAAAGTTTATCTTGGACAAAAGCAGAAGAATGGACTTTCACTATAAAAAATAATTTTCCCTATATTTCAAAAGTACCCAATTATATTTGATTTTTTTTATATTTGTACCTAAATTTTTCCGTCCTCCCTGGTATGGAAGTCAAGAGCTGCCACTGGATATTTATAACGATCGTTCAAATAAAAACGTGGTCCTGAAAATTTGGACGTAGGGCGTAGCGTATAGCAAATGAACTTAAACGTGATCTGTCAAAGCGCTATATCGCCGCTATCAATTTGAATACTTATTTTCGTTTTAAAAAGCGTTTAAAATGGTGTTTTCTCAAGAACAAAAAGTGTTTATCATAGAGTCCTACTTTAGAAATGGACGCAAGATTGATGGAATATGGAAGTATTCTATTGAGGAATGTTTCATAGAATTTAAAAATCAATTTCCCGGCGTTGTTGAGTACAAAATTTTTCAAAGTGCAGTTCAGCGTTGTGTTAATGTTTTTCGTGAAACGGGCAGTGTAACAAGAAAAGAAGGAAGCGGCCGACCTAAAAAGCGGACTGAAGAATTAAAAGAAAATGTNGTCTGTTAATTCTGCGTTAGAGTAACCAGCCATAGCGAAAGAAAACTTGTGCACTGAGAACAACTGTCAAATACGTACTGTTTATTTCACTAAACATCAACCAACTATTATAAGAAAATACACAACGTTTTTGCAAAATAAAAAAGGGACTAAAAAACATAAAACAATCCATATCTCCGCAACCGTTACTTTGCGGACCCATGTTTATTGAGACTTTTCTGCTTATTTTGGTTCATACTATTACCTCATTAAATATTTTACACTCTTTTTTTAACACCCTGTACATTAATTATTACACCATTTGAATACGTATATTTGATAACGAATTTTCTGCAGCTATTGGTACTTCAAGAGACAAATTCTATTCATCACTTGAAAAATTCATTTCGTTTCCTACTTTATTCCTACTTCCACTTGAGAAGTAATGTTATAACACTACTTTCTTCTAATATTCGCAGCATACCTTTTACTGTTAAATTAGTTTGGAAGTTTCAATAGCAGTTATCAGTGGTGCAACAATTTTTGGGCTCCCGGTGCCTGGTTTCAGTTCACTGTTCTACGTCGTTTCGGTCCTTAATCTTTATGGTTGAGTCTGTTTTAAATTCTATTCTAAGCCATCGCCCTGGTTGAATTTCGATTTTTTTATGAAAAAAATAGGCAAGTAATTGGATGACCATACAGGCAATATACACAGCATAGACCAGCGAACTTGATTTCCAATATCTAAAGTAAATCGACAATTGCGACAACCTGCCCAGAAATTGTTCAACAACTGACAAGTAACAGACTGTAGAAATTGAATCACTTTTAGTTCCTGAAGATACAGTTGTTCTCGAACGAAGTGAGGGCGTCCTTCCAGAAAATTGTGAAGGATACAATCAAAATGAGAGAAGAGAAGAATATCGTTCGGCAAGACATGACAAATCTATTATTGGAGGCAAAAAAGGGAGTTCAGAAACAGGAGGAAAATGATGTGATCGACACAGGACTTCCCACTGCTAAGGAAAGTGATTTAAGTAAGTGCACTAACTACATAAATGCAAAAATAAACATATATAAAATGTTCCTTCAAAGGGGCAATAGATTACGTCAAAATACACAGTTTTTCATTAAGCCACATGTGATCTAAAATGCAAAATTTTCAATATAGAAAAAATGTCAACCCAAAGAACTCTCCTTGCAAATAATCACACTAAACGTGACCTATTTACTATAAATGAAACAGTTGATTAAGTGGGAAGATTCAGGATCGGCCTAGGTTTCATGTAATAATTTATTCTTCTTGGATAAGTTTCTGGATCACATGAGACTTTAGACCATATATTGCTTAATGAAAATTGATTGTTTTCATATCCTTTATTACACCACTAAAAGGACACATTTCAGAAACACCATGAACACTGTAACAGTACTTATACAGCCTGTCTCCTAAAAAACGCCGCAAGACATAACTCCGTTATGAGATTTCTGATTTCTGATCTGATCTGATTTTAAAAAACAAAAAATTAAATTAAATGGCTCTAAATACACTATAAAGCAAACCTATTAGAGTTCATTTACTATTATTTTTTTTTGAAAAGTGATGGTCAACTTTTTTTTTCAAATGGCAATATAGTTTCTTTGTTATTTATTATTGTGCAGATTTATTTTCTGAATCCAACGATGTATATGAACTTTACTTTAATTCATGACAAATGTATTTTAACTAATCATCTGTACCATGGAAAACAAAAAATAATACAAAAGAGAATTTTATAGTTAACAGAAAAAAACAATACAGTGAATATCAGTTAAAAGAAAAATAATTTAATCAAATACATTAAATACATATATACATAAGTTCAACACGAAATAACATTAATTAAACACAAAACACATTGAACGAAGAACAACAAACACAAAACAACTAAAGAAACAAATTGTAGCCGTCCTCTATTGCCTGTACTTTTTGAGGAATGTATGTCTTGAATTTGTGCTTTTTCAATACTGCATGTACAGTTCTCTTTAATGCTCTATTATTATTAAAATTTCCCGAATGGAGAATGGAAGTTCTTGGGTTTTCTTCGACGTTAAGAAGAACATTGAACTCGATGTTTCCATTAAATTGACGTTCTTCTTGCTTTGGTTTCTTAAAAGCACCATAGTTTCTCAAATTTTCTTCAAGTCTATATGTGGTTCTGGAAGTTATCTGTGAGTTCTCTGTAAAGGCGGACTCTTGCACCACGATTTTTTAAACACCACCGAAAGTATACCTGAATTATGTCCGTCAATTGATTGTTACTCATATTTTGTACTGTTCGTTGAGCTTATTTCAATAAATAACCTACTGTAAATGACACAGAAAGAGTATAATGTGTAAAAAACTGGAACACGAACGCTAAAATGACATTTACTTGCTTTGTTGTATTATTTTTTGTTTTCCAGGCATACATGATTAGTCAAAATATGTTTGTTGTCAATTAAGCGACCGGACGCTAATAATGCGGTATTGACTAATATTTTCAAGCTTTTTCCGCAATACATGTTTCACAAAACTAGACTTTATATACATCGTTGAATTCAGAATAAAATTCTGCACAACAATAAATAAAAAAAAACATATATTGCCATTTGGAAAAAAAAGTTGACTATCGCATTTCAAAAAAAAATAATAATAAATACACCCCGATAGGCTCACTCTATAGCGTCTTTAGAGTCATTTCACATATTTTTTGTTTTTTAAAATCAAACTATAAATGACTTGCGGCATTTTTTAGGAGACAGCCTGATGTAGGTATATACAATACTGGCCATACACGATGTAAGAGAGTGCATTTTGCAAGAATAGTGCTATAAATACGACTATTAAACGAAGAAATTAATATCTCCAATGAGGTTACATTGATATATTTTGTTTAAACTTTTTGATATTTTCATGATCAGCACTCTGTCACTGTATACGTGAATAATAATATTGTTTGTAGAATAATAAGATTAGACATTCAGCTTTATCGTAAAATAATAATTTAGGGCATTTATTTTAGTGAAATCAACCAAACCACCCACAGAAATAACAGATGTGGACATCGCAGCGCAAGCTATGATATTCTTTTTCGCCGGTTTTGAGAGTGTATCGACACTCATGTGTTTCTTGGCCTATGAACTGGCTGCTAATCCAGATATCCAGGACAGGTTAAGGGAGGAGATTAGGTCTGCGCTAGAAAAATGTGAAGGTAAACTCACGTACGAAGATATTCTCGAGATGAAGTATATGGATATGGTTGTCTCAGGTTAGTATTTCCAGTTAGTATCCTTATTCTTTAACATCAACCTTAATATCACTGAAATTCCAAAAAACGTTTCACCTTATTGAAGTTATATAAATATATTCTCTCAACGTTACAGAAGCTCTGAGAAAATGGCCCTCTACCATAGCTACAGACAGGGTTTGTACAAAACCCTACACCATAGAACCAACCACGCCTGGTGAGGTACCTTTATATCTGGAAAAAGGCACTTTAATTATGCTACCCATATACAGCATACACCACGACCCAAAGTATTTTCCAAACCCAGAGCGTTTCGACCCTGAGAGATTCAGCGACGAAAACAAAGGCGACATCAAACCCTACACCTATTTCCCGTTTGGTGTGGGTCCTCGTAACTGCATTGGTTCTAGGTTTGCTTTACTGGAAACCAAAATTGTGATCTTCCACATTTTAAAGAATTTTGAATTAGTTCCAGTCGAAAAAAGTAGAATTCCTCTTCAGATATGTAGGAAACGCTTTAACATGACCGCTGAAGGTGGTTTATGGTTCGGATTGAAACGAATCAGCGAATAAAGTATACTGTGGCAGTTGAAAAATTAAAATTGTATTATTATTTTTATATTATAATAAAGAATAGCATTTGTAAAGTAGCAATAATACTAAAACTAAAATCTTCTACCTTAATCCTATATGTTACAACTATTCCTCCTTTGGTTTGGATTCCCGTAATTGTATTGATTCCAGATTTGCTCAAATGGAGACCAAAGGAAGCAGCAGACCAAACTAAAAATTAATTTTCCCGATTATTGGGCGCCTAACAGTTTAGCATAATGCCAAGGGACATAAGGATAAAGTTTGGATGCACCAAACGATGAATCCTGAAGAACCATAGATTTTAGATTTTAAACCATTAAATGTAACATATTGCTATCTGCTATGAAGACTAAAACCAAATTAGGTTTTTGTAATGAAATTAAAGTCACGTTGAGTAGTTGAACGCAAATTCTTTAAGGAAAATAGATGTGTTTGTACAGTGAAATTTGTAACAAATCTTTAAATATTTAAATATTTTTTTTGATTGTAGAAGGCATGTCATGTTTCAATATCAGTGTTTAAACGTAGTAGAGTTGCTAAAAATAAGAAATTGATTCGAGTATCTTTATCCTACGTGATTTATACTGTACATATAAATTTTGTGGAGAGATAATGTGTAAACAACCCTGTCAGCCGGTCCGAGCGAGAACAGCCTAACAGCTGACACAGCGAGAGGAGAATATGCTGATGGATATATTACTTCATTTTAAACACATACGCTGATGTATTTTAAAAAGGCATTCGGGAATAAACCGTTCTTGAGTCGAGTTCTATGATTTTTAATTGAAGTGACCTACCAAGCCTACCTTAATAATTATTATTACCGTTCCCATATTTTAAGTTTTAGTTATTGTTTATAGTGCAGCGGTGGGATAGACCTCACTATTCTGACTAAGTGTATTTGTGCAAGTACTATAAACTGTGTTTGTTTTGATAATAAGGAATTAGTATATACGACGGTTTGTGTTCAAGGGAACGAAACAATTCGTCAGCCTGTGAGTATCGAACTTTTATTAAATAAAAAAACGTAGCATTTAATTAACGTATAAATTAAATTGCTTCACAGGACATTGCATTTAATTAACGTACAAATTAAGTGCATTACTGGGCATAAGAGTTTATTTGAAAAACCATCAAACCGCTTCATCGAAGACGTAACACGTTAGCTGTTATCGAGAATAAAGTAATAATAATAATAAACAATAGATATGATCAATGGATTTGTTTAAAAGCACGAAAATTTGGCTGGTATAAGAACATAGGCGCACGTATTTTGTTTTTATATTTCTTTTGATTATATAATACTTCAATATAATAACTGTTTGTTTACAAACTTAGCGTCTAACTAACGTATAAATTTAGACCTACTTAGCTACAGTGCTGAAGCAGAATACCAGAATATTGTTTCGTCATATTATAAGTTTCTTAGTGGCCAAAGAAAAGAAAAAAAAAATGGGTCGCTCAAGATCACGTGCGCGGAGTTCTAGCACTAGTTCTAGCGACAGTGAACATAGGCGTAGACGTTATCGAAATCGTCGATTAGACAAAGACGAATCCCGCTCCCGGTCAAATAATGTGGTGGATTCAACAAAACGTTCCGATGAAAGAAGCCACACTCCACCTCCTCGAGATAAGGTTCAGCGGCTTGAACAACTTGTCGAACGACTCATTGAACGTGATATTTCGTCGAGACCAGGTCCAAGCCGAATGTTTGTCAAGCCGGAATGCATACCGGAGTTCAAGCCAGGGAATCCTAATCTAACCTGTGGAAAATGGATTGAGAAAATCGAGCAGTTGGGTAGGATTAACCATTGGGATGAACATGCGAAAATTTTTCACATGCAAAGTCGCCTAAGTGGATTAGCTCGCAAATGGTACGATAATTTGGACACATATGATTTGACTTGGGAGGAGTGGAGGAGCCTCCTTCAAAAATCATTTCCGGAACATCAAGATTTCGCATCATCATTAAGAAAGCTGGTCAACAGACGAAAGCTTCCCACAGAAAATTGGGATGAATATTACTTTAATAAAATGGATCTGATACGGTCTTGTGAGATTAGTCCGAAAAATGCAGTTTCTTGCATTATAGATGGAATCAATAACCCGACCATTCAAGTCGGAGCACGCGCTGGACGCTATGAAACGCCTGACGCTCTCTACGCAGAATTTCTTTCTTCCCTAAAACAAGAAAATATATCCGAGGCTTTTCCAAATGCAGGACCCGTTAAGAAACGTTTTTACCCTAATCGCCGAAATAATAGTTATGAACCCCCAACGAAGAAAAACAACTACGGCAATAAACAAGTACAGAGGTGCTATAATTGCAAACAAATGGGGCATTTTTCAAATAACTGTCCGAAACCACGACTTGAGTGTCCAAGATGTAAAAGATTAGGGCATTTAGAAAAGGATTGCCATCGATCTCTCAAGAATCAGGTGGTACAACTCGCAAGTCCTCAGCCACGGTACAATGAAGAATATTTTTTCGATTGTACCATAAATGGAAAACAAATGAGGGCCTATGTTGACACAGGATGTGGTGCAGTACTTATAAGAGAAGACCAAGCACGGGAACTAAAACTAAAAATTGTATCTAGTTCAGTAACGATAACTGGCTACGGTGCAATTACAATAGATGTGGTTGGAGAAACCGAGTTCACCATAATGCTGGACCAAGCAAAAGCTAACGTAAAAGCTTTTGTTGTGCCTAATACCGTTCAGAAAGTACCTGTTATGGTTGGTCAACCGTTCTTACATTTACCAGATGTGGTGATGGTAGTAGCCAACGGAAGAGTTAGGATACTCTCTTTTGATGACGATCTGAGTGAAGTTCTAAAAATACCAAACAGAAAAATACCATTATGGGCCAAGGAAGCTGTAGTTGTTCCGTCCAAAACATACGTGTTAGTAGCTGTGACTTCCCGAGGTGGCGTTAATGGGGAGGTCCACGTACCCGGAGGCCGAAGAGCAAAACCTGGTCAGGAGTACTATATTGGTGAATGTATCACCCAAGCTGAAGGAGGGTACGTGTCCATTACAAACATTTCCTCAAACGATATTGAGGTAGGTACCAAAAATATTTTAGTTCGATGTGTACAATGTTTTGAAGACAGATCCTTTTCTGATAGCAGTATCAATGTTTTCTCGGTTAACGTAAATGACCTTGAACCATTCTGCCAAAACGATTTGGTTTATAATAAAAATCTTACACCTGAACAAGTAAAACGTTTACTTGATATGATAAATCTGTTTAGATGTTGTTTTGCTCAACATACAGGGGAATTGGGGAAAACAGATGTCCTCAAAATGTCTATACATCTTACCGACGACAAGCCAGTAGTTTATCGACCCTATCGTCTGTCTCATTCAGAACGAGAAGAAGTGAAGAAAATAGTGGATGATTTGCTGGTTAATGAAATTATTCGTGAATCACAATCACCGTACTCTAGTCCTATACTATTGGTGAGGAAGAAAAACGGCGAACAACGTATGTGTGTGGATTATAGAGCACTTAATTCCAAAACCATTAAGGACCGATTTCCACTACCACACACAGATGATTTCCTTGAAAAGCTAAAAGGGTGTCGATTTTTCACAAGTTTGGACCTAGCGTCAGGTTACCATCAAATAGCCGTAGAAGAAACTTCGATACCGAAGACTGCGTTCGTAACACCCGATGGCCATTACGAGTACCTTCGGGTACCCTTTGGTCTCTGCAATGCTCCGGCAATATTCCAACGAACAGTCAATAAAGTTTTGGGAAACCTTCGCTATGGAAATGTTATCGCTTATATGGACGATATTCTGATACCATCTGAGAACTTTGAATACGGACTTAATCACTTAAGACAGGTCCTTGACTCCTTAAAGTCTGCTGGATTGACTCTAAGGCTTTCTAAATGTCAATTTTTTATGGAGAAAGTAGAATATCTTGGACATGAGATATGTCGGGAAGGAGTTCAGCCCGGAAACAGAAAGATAGAAGCTGTTAAAAATTATCCAGTACCCACAGATGTACATAAAGTGAGACAGTTCCTTGGTTTGGCTGGATATTTTAGAAAATATATAAAGGACTTCGCGACAATAGCTAGACCCTTAACAATTCTAACGAAAAAGGACGTAAGATTCTCCTGGGAATCAGACCAACGTATAGCGTTTGAGACCCTCCAAGAAAGACTCGTGTCTAGACCTCTCCTGGCGATTTATGACCCTAAACTCGCAACAGAAGTCCACACTGACGCCTCGAAGTGGGGTATTGGAGGAATACTGCTGCAAATGCATGATGGGAACTTAAGACCAGTTATGTACTACTCTCGACAGACAAGCAAGGAAGAACAAAGGTATCACTCGTACGAATTGGAAACCATCGCTGTTGTCGACACACTAAAGCACTTTCGAATTTACCTAATAGGCATTATGTTTAAAATTGTTACGGATTGTAATGCCGTTCGAACTACTTTTTGCAAGAGGGATCTTATTCCTCGAATTGGGAGATGGTGGTTAGCAATCCAAGAATATACCTTTGAGATAGAATATCGCTCCGGATCAAGGATGTCCCATGCTGACGCTTTAAGTAGGAATCCATTAGTTAACGGCCCACAACTATCCTACAACGTGAATGTTAATGAGGTCAATATTACCAACGATGACTGGGTATTACATGCTCAAAAGATGGATGAGAGATGTAACTATCTGATAGAAGTATTAGGTAAATTACCAGCGGACCGTGAAGAACAATGTATCCATGAGGAATATTGTCTTGAAAATGGCCGGTTGTATAGAAAACTACCAATTGGAAAAAAATGGGTTATACCAAAAGCTGCAAGACGACAAGTTGTGTTACATTTCCACGATGGTTTAGGACACTTGTCATTAGAAAAGACTTTATCGGCCGTATCTAAATTGTATTGGTTCCCGGGAATGCGACGGTACCTAAAGAAATTTATTGCAGCCTGTTTACCTTGCATGTATAACAAGGAGCCCGGTGGAAAGAGACCTGGGTATTTGCACCCGATAGAAAAGATTGCTACTCCGTTCGACACACTCCACGTGGACCAC